GTGAAGACGAGGAAATGGAACCATGTTCACAGCTAGCTTTCGAAGGTCTGCGTTAAGCTGACCAGGAAAGCGAAGACAAGTAGTAACACCAGACATAGTTGCACTGACAAGATGGTTCAAGTCACCATAAGTTGGTGTTTGCAATTTAAGTGTACGAAAGCAGATGTCGTAGAGAGCTTCATTGTCGATGCAATAGGTCTCATCAGTATTTTCAACTAATTGGTGAACTGAAAGTGTGGCATTGTATGGTTCTACGACCGTATCCGACACCTACAAAAACCTAGATGAGAAAGTTTATACCTTGGGAGAAGGGACTACAGAGAATGTGTTCATGATTCGGTCCGCATACTCTTCCCTTACTTTGGAGATCATAAGCGTCCCCATCCCGGACCCCGTCCCCCCTCCAAGAGAATGCGTAAGCTGGAAACCTTGGAGACAGTCGCAAGATTCAGCTTCCTTTCTAACAACATCCAAAACGGAGTCAACGAGTTCAGCTCCCTCAGTGTAGTGGCCTTTGGCCCAGTTGTTACCAGCACCACTTTGCCCAAACACGAAATTATCCGGGCGAAAAAGTTGACCAAAAGGTCCAGCCCTAACGCTATCCATTGTGCCAGGCTCCAGATCAACAAGAACGGCTCTAGGAACATATTTGCCACCGGTTGCTTCGTTATAGTAAACATTAATACGTTCCAACTGCAGATCAGAATCACCGTGATAAGTTCCAGTTGGATCAATGCCATGTTCATCGGATATTACTTCCCAAAACTAAAAATTTTGTTATGAGAAGACACAGATATACCTTAGCGCCTATCTGATTGCCACATTGACCAGCTTGAACGTGTACTATCTCTCGCATGTTACAAACCCAACTAACCCAATTCGCGGCAATCCCAGAGGGCGAATAAGGATGGTACAATTAAACAAAGAAGGTCAAATAATGTACTAAATGATAAAATTAAAAATCCGTATACCTAAAGCGAAAAATTAGAATTAAGGTAAAAAAGTCCAAAATAACTTAAAAACCTTAAACGAATCTTAAACCTTAAACGAACCTTAAACAAAATAGGGCAGAAGCTGTAAATTACGATAATGACAAGGTGATGGCATGGCCAAATTTCGGTCCTAACTATGTGTTCTCATCGATTCTTTACAAATTTTCTTCCACCGTGTCAAAATGGACATCCACTCACACAGAGTGTCTATTAATGCTTCCATGCACTAGGATATCCAATCCATATTCGCGTAAATTACCGCAACCATGATGTAAAATATGCGAAAAACAACATTTCATGTGTTCCTATGTAAACAAAATTATACAACGGCGAATGAAATCGAGGTTTGGTAGACATGATGATTTGTAGTCTGCAACGCAAATACAAGTTTACATGTGGCACCGTTTTTATGAAGATTGGGACATCTCTTGACACCGAATTCAGCAATTTTTTTTTGACAATGTGCTCATTGTTAAAAGAGGCTGTTGTGCTGAGCAACAGAGACGCACAGTAGCACAAGAGCGCATTTGATTCCAGAATTACCACCTAAATTATAAGGTCCTTTGCTCCTTCACTAAGTGTTAAGTAAGTATTTTCGGCTGAATGGGATTATCATTAAAATATCAACATCATTTTCTAATGTAAATTATGTACCGCGAGACGGAGTTGCTTTCATATTAAAAGTAACAACAAGTAGGATCAATAAAAGAGTACCAAAATTGGCGAAGACAATACTGCGGAGAGGACGGACAACTTGAAAAGGCCTCAGTGTCAGGTTAGGAGCAAACTTTAACATAATGGCAAAACCTACAGAACTGTGATCTTTAGCAGTAGCTGTTCAAGGCCTCGAAAGCCCTTGAAAATGAATAGGATTAAATGCTAGGGCAAAGTAAATACATGCATATATTCGGCATACGGGTAGGCTTAGGGCTACTAGAATGACCTGGAGGCAAGATTACGCAGTGAGGGTGCATCGGTGGAGCCCGATGCAGCCCGATGCCAAAAGCGAAAGTTAAACGGCCGACATAATTTGGCTAATTGAGCTATAGTGTAGCATCCCGAGACTCCCTGAAGACGTAAGAAGGCACAATACTCGGGCAGAATATATATATATATATATATTCAGCACGGAGAAGCTGTCTGGGCTATTGGCATGGCCCAAAAGGCCAGCCCCACCCAGCGAGGTACAAGAGGGCTAATTCAAAGCCCAAAAGTAGCGCCTCACCAGATCCGAGGGCCAAATCAATATTGTATTACAATAGGCTATTAAATAATGAGATTAAAAGTTTTAGATGTATGTTCGAGGAAAAGGGCGTCGAATCACATTCAAACAAAGAAACTGCAAGCTAGATTGGTCAACTTGATCTCGCAGTTATTCCATGTGAAATATTTTGTTTCCCATTATGGGATATATCAACTTATTGCAGTCATATGTACAAAAACATGTGTGTTAGCGATTTGCATAAATCGGATCGCCCGTCTCCAACTGATTTTACATTAAAATTACTTGTGGTTTAAAAATATTTTTTATTTTCTAGCAATTTTTAGAGTTTTTTTTGCCCTATGTGAACTGATAGCGGCCAACACTTTATCTTGCCTTCTATGTTTAAATTCTCAAGCGCGGCACTTTTGGGCTTTGCTTGTGCTTGCGGCGTGTTGTGCGCTTTTGTGACGATGGTTCGCGTTAATGTTTTGGCTGATGCTTTAAAGTCAATTAACAATGCCGAACGGAGAAAGAAAAGGCAGGTCATGATCCGTCCCTCTTCAAAAGTCATCGTTCGCTTCCTAAAGGTTATGCAGCGCAAAGGCTACATAGGTGAATTCGAGATTGTGGACGATCATCGTTCTGGCAAAATTGTCGTGCAGTTAAATGGACGCCTTAATAAGTGTGGAGTGATTAGCCCACGGTTTAAAATGGGTGTGAGAGATACGGAGCACTGGACTCGTAACCTCCTTCCGTCTCGTCAGTTTGGGTAGGGTTTGAAGCTTTTCTATTACGCTTGTAGTTACATTGTCCTTACGACAAGCGGTGGCATGATGGACCACGAAGAGGCAAGGAAGAAGCACTTGGGCGGTGTTATCCTCGGGTACTTCTTTTGAACATGGATAGGGTTTTGTAAAATACATATTTATCGGATTTATCTCAGGCCGCTTCTGACTTTCTGAAGCCGTCATGGTAAATTGCAGAAATGGCCCCTTTTCGTTTATAATGCATGGGAGGTAGTTATTGTGTCGATGTATGTTCCCATCTCGGCTGTCATATACTTATTGGTTGTTTGCTTTTAATTTTACATCAATGTTTAGTGTCTATGGCTAGAAAACCTCGGAACCACTTCTGTGAGGCATTATTTGTCCGTCATACGATTTTGAGATTCTCAGGTATTCATCACACTGGTTTAATTTCAGGCTTTACTGAACGCTACCCCCCGTGCTTGGCGCCTGACATGATCCATGAGTGATTGTTGAGGTGTGTACATTTACTAACGCATGATTCCTAATCCTAATGCAGTTTTCATTATTCCCAGCTCGACCCAAACGTCTGATTTTAGGCCAGCACTTTTTGATAAATGCTTGAGATTCCCCTTTGGTTATCCTCAGCACTTTAAAAGAGCATAGCGTGGATCCAAGTTAACCGTTTATAAATGCCACGAAAATCTGGTGATGGTTATATATACACGGAGATCAAGGTGTTCCAGACGAAGATATTTATCTTAGAAAGGCTGCAACTTCATCTACGTTTTCATCGCTGAACGGGTAGGGGCGCCCGTTGACTTTACAGTAGTGCTCTATCGCTCGTCCATAGGCTTTCACCACCTAAAACGTAGAGTAGTTGGGGTTACTTGTAGTCCGAATGTTCCTCTGTTTAACAGTGAACACACACCGATTGTTTCAGTTTGCTCCGCTTGGCCTCGTGTAGTTTTTCCTCGTCGATAGCTGTGCTAGTTGCCAGAGGGAGTAGCTTTTCTCGTGGCAGCCACTGCCAGGTCCGTTTTCCGTCGAAAAACAGAACAAGGAAGGTAGGACTCGCTGGAGGTGGAGTGGTAGTGCTTGTCGGGACCGAGGAGGGCGACGTGGTGTTGGAGTTTGGACTTACCGCTGAATCCGTACCGCGTGGCGTGCCTGTCTGAAAAGGCGGTGCAGCATTCGACCCGACATTGAGAACGGATTCAGGCGGAATTGGGATAGGTACTCCGTTTTGATTGTATTCCTTGGTCGATGCAGCTGGGTCGATTACCTAACGAGTGAGTGCGGCTAGACATTTACCGTGTTCCCAAGAGACTGATCAGATAAGTGACAAACTCACCATGGCTGGGTACCAAGGGGACCCCCGACACTTCGCCCAGACCAGATCCAGATGCTCAAAATTCCGATCATTCAAGAATAAATTTGGCCGTGGTAAGGACTGAATCGTCAGAGTGGCGGATTCTGCGCCTACACGTCGTACTTCCGTCTTTACCTTACTTCCTCGTTGTCGTCCCTTTTTCAATAGCTTCTGCTTTCTGATTGCGGACTGACCCGAGTTCTTGAGCGACAATAGCTGGGAAAGAGTCCAAGTTTGTCTCTGAACGCTTCGATCTTTTGCCTTTGTAGTCGGCGATTTGAGAGCAATGGTTTTCCGTGGAGGCGATTTCTGGATAAAAATGCGACAGATGAATTAGGAAGTACAGAAAACTTGACCGGATAAATAGAGAGCCTCTCACCTTTAAAATGGCGGGTCTACCTGTATTGACGGCAGATTTGTCAATGCAACGGTTTCGGAGTGAGCGTCCGCCGTCAGTCACACAATCGGCAGTACCTGTTGTGATTTTCGTTAGCGTGGTACAATTGACGGAAGTAGGAGTTGCCGCTGCTGCTGCTGCTGCCACAGTGTCTTGAGTGTCCTCTGAATCTTCTGTTTCTTCCTCCGAATCATCATCACTTTCATCTTCGTCTTCTTCCTTCGTGGCCAATCGTGAGCGGTAGATGGTGAAAGCGGGTCGAGTTCGGTCGGGTGAGTGAGGCAAGCGCAGGGCAGTGGTCTTCGCAGTGTTGTCTTGATTAAGGAGCATCTCCGGTGCCGAAAATGTCGCTGTCATACCTGCTAGCGCTTCACCTGCGGTTTTTTCTGTAATGAGGGTCAAAGGCTGTGGGAAGCAAGGTCGACGCAGACGCTGACTCTGTGGGGGAGCAACACTAGGGCTCATGAATTCCCTCAGGTGTCTAAAAGCCAGGAACGAATTATATGAAGAGTCGTTGTAACCTGGTAGGAAATATCGTAAGTCGTAAGATTACTCTACCCTCTTTTCAATGGTGGTTCCGCAAAAACTGGAGCAGTTTCCATGGTATCATGAGATCGCAGACGACCACGTGTCACTGTGAACGATTTCTTCGACTCCGACTTTTCTTCAAAGATATGATTGTCGCGATCATTGTTTTCAAGTGGAATGGGAGCTAAAAGACCTCCCGAATTGGCCCCCACACTGTTGGGAGCCTTGACGAGATCCGTCACTGAGACTGCGGAGGTGGATGAATTCTCACCATCCCAATCAAATATTTCAAAGTGCTCATTCTCCAAAGCCTCCTTGAGCATAGGAGCACACTAAACGGCCTCGGGTCCAGTATTTATTCATACCTGCTCTGCCATGGCTACTGCAGCCTTGTAGTAGACCGTGTCGCGACCATTGTATTCACAGCAGTTTTTAACAATGAGATTAAAGTCCTCCTGTACTTCTGACACCTGAAGGTACTCATGGTCGGAGCACTTGTTTCGCATAGTCTCAAAATCCATCGGCTTCTTTATCACTGAATAGTAATCCGGCGCAATGTCCGTTGATACGGGAGCCGCGAAGAAGTTTCTTGTGTCCTTAGCCTAAGGAGGTGTGAAACAGAAGACGAGAGAACGGTTAAATTTCACAACGAAAAGACGGAAAAAGGAGACCTACCTGGAGTTCGTCAATGAGTCTTTTGAGCATTCGGAAAGTTGGGAGGATCCTGCACTCAAGTTGAGCGCGATAGTTGGAGACGAGCTCCAGTTTAACGCGCTCCCGCTTGCGTATCAATTCGGAGAGCAAGCGAGCCCGTTCGAGGTCTTGTCTGAGGCGTTGGAAGAAGAACAAGTGGTTACGCATCTTCTCCATCTCCTCGTCTCCGGCTGCTGCTGCTGCTGCTGCCGCCTCGCTCTTGGACAGGAAATACGACACGTTTGTGATTAAATCACAACTCCGTTAAACATCACTTTCAACAAAGTATTATTTTTTTATTAATTTAATCTTCTCTATTATTAGACAAATAAAACTAATCCTGCATATGATTTTTTTAAAATGTACTTCGGACGTTGCAATAATACCACTTTCCATGAATCCGACTACTGAGTAGGCAAAGCACCAATGCTCAAGGAAGATATCCCATGTTTGAGGTAGGTCTATATCAAGGGAGGATGACATCCAATTACACTCTTTCGCCCTTGAAATTTCCCAGTTTTAATAAATGGGTTTGGAAGTGGGTTCGACACTCACAAGTGATGCGGGACCGCGGATTCTGGTAGCTGCTTGGAGCCGTTTAAGTAAAGGCACACCGCGTCGAACTTCGCGTTTTAGCTTCCAGAAGGCATAGACGCGTTGGAAAAACTCCTCTTTGCCACTATTCACCCCAGCGAGCTCGGAGTAAATGAGCTAATTTGTTTAACGTTAATGCGATGCCGATGGTAATGACAACGAGGGGATGGGAAAAAGAAGTGCTAAGGCCTTACATCACTCTTCGACTTGGCCACCATAGGCACACACACGAAAGGCTTGGAGTTGCGACGTTCAGCAAGGACCTTTCGAGCGTTCTTGATAGTCGTCCGCTTCACCGTCTCCTCATCGGCGTCCGAGGACACCCTTTCGTCGTCTGAGTGTGCGTACATTCCACTGTGAGCGTTGGCCTAGGTAACAATAGTACTATTATAACAGCCCTCATTTCTATCCAAATGCGAGTAGCAAAAATTGATCTGGTTGACATATAACCCCAACAACAACGAGCTCCAAGTAAAAGGGAAATAAACGAACCTTGAAATGAGAGGGAGGACAGTGGCGATCGCAATAAGCGCGCTTCCGAATGCCCGAGTCGTTAGGATCGTCGCTCTGCTCGATCTTCATGTACAAGCCAGCCTGTTGTGCACAGGTGACATGAAAAGCCCGGTAACAACTTTGCTTATGACACTGAATGCAGGCGCCCACATTTCGCTGTTTACAAATGAAGCACCGCAGAGTCCACCTTAAAAGAATTAACACACTTTCCCGTAAAATCAGCCGTTGCTAGGCTTATGCTGTGAAGAGGGGGACCGCAGGAGAAGCACACCTTGCAGGGGAAATTTTGTCAATATTCTCTAGGGGCTCCAGAAAGGTCAGATTGGCAAACATGACTTCGGGAATCCAGAGACCGCAGATAACGTGAGCCCAGCGATCATCAGAGGTCTTTTTAAAGGCGCCCCCAGTGTTAGGACAGAGGCAGCATGAGATCGGTTCACTGGGCGAATGCAGACACTTACGACACAGCCAGGAACCCTCTGGTATGTATGGAACGCCATAGCAATCCTAAAACCATAAAACAGCTCGATGCATATAACTAAAACAAGTCGATTCTGTTAAGCCAAAGCTGTAAATATCCAAGGAACCTGATGCACGGCGAGGTTACAAACATCGCAGAAGAGAATAGCATTGATATTCTCACAATTCCCATCCTGGCAAACGGCGCACACGGCATCCTCCTCATCAGTGTTGTTTAATATGACAGAAGTGGAAACATTTGGGCTGTTCTCGGCAGCTGGCCGAAATTGGGAATTTTTTTCAAAACGATCTAGCACCCATTCGAGTTTTGACTGTTCTATGGGCTCCATGCCCTTGGAGGCGCGATCTGTATTTATTTTTTCTAACCAGAAAAGGTCCTAGTTAAAAGAAGTAGTCAGTGCCGGTGACAAGTCAGATAGAGAGATGGAGTATGATTACAGAGATGCAAAACACACTTCTTCATCAAGATCATACTCTACGATTTCGTCCAACTCCTCGGAGGACCGTTCCACAAATCTCAGGTATGCACAACCCTTTTTCCACACTGGAGGCTTGCGCTGATACACGAAGTTTGAATCCACTTCAAATTGTGGGACGGGAACATTGACCGCCAGTTGAGATTGATTGACTTTGACTACATCTACAGCAGTGGTTTGAAGAAACAAAGCCGGGGATTCATTTAATTTACCAATAGTTTTCGGTGCCTGAAATTTGTTGCACCTACCGCGGTTTGAATTTGGTGTTTCCAAGTTGTTTAGACTTGGAGCTCCATCGAGAGACACTTTGAAGGAGAGGTGGAGTGGTACATTAATGCTACAACGAACACTTGGGAGATTTCCAGATGATAAATTAAAGACGATTAGCTTCTGCGTGTCCAGAAAGCGCATGGGAGGAAATTTATTCTGGCTCCAATCGGATTTTAAACCGGATCTAGGGCTGGTCGCATATGACTCGATAAGAGTCGTTGATATATCCACAGGATCTGGTGCCCGATGACACTCCATATGCTGTTGAATAGCTGAAATAGTTGAATGTCAGTAGACATTTACGAGACTACAGAGGTGCACAATGAAAAAAAAGGACGCTATAAATCACCTTTAAAGGATTTAAATGACCTCCGGTTGCAAGTATCAGCCGGACACGAATATGGTGGTTTGTTGCCATGAATGCGTGATAAAAACTCGGGTATGTCGAAATCAACAGGAGGAAGGGCCATTGTCCGCTGGTTATAAAGGCTCTGTAGTTAGGCCTGAGATAATAAAAGAGCTGATTTGTTTGCAACGTAAATGAGATTCAAGCCTATTGTGAAGTACTAAATAATTACTAAATCAAGTTAGACACTATTCCCGCTGAAATCAGGAAGAACAGAAACATGCGACCGGCATCTAGTAACTTCGTAAGGAATCAAGATAACCCAGGAAGCCAGGACAAAACAATAAAAAATCAGTAAAAAAAGGAAGCACGGACCAAGTGAAAAAATTGTGAAAAGATGGTTTGCATCGAGGAAGAAAGTGACGGGAAAAACTGAGGAGGAGATTAGGAATACTTGCACTAATAAACTCAAGTAAATCGAAGAATATGCCTAATAAAACAAATTCACAGCAGATGAAAGGCGGATCAGGATGAATGGAAACCAGAGCAACAAACCACGCCCAGAGGCTCTTCACCAAATAGTTGAAGGTGGTTATCTACGTTCTTAATCAAATTTTACAAAGTTAACCAGCTAACATGAAAAACGAAACAATACATTAGCATGTTTATTGCTGCCAGGCCTGATAAATAAAACACAAAAACTTAAGAGATTGGGGTAAAAATGTGGGGAGGAGAAAAATGTGCCTTAACCATAAGTAAAATGGCCAAACTGCCCTAAAATATGCAGGAAAAAAATTTGGGCTTTTTTAGTCACCACTGATGTCTTTTTCAAAGAAACGGGTCTTTTACAAGCATGCCTACATTGTTTATATCAGCGAATGTGCATGCAACTTCATTGCGTGATTGCTTGAAATGGATCTTCTGGTAGTTTTCTGGGGACGTTTGACTGTCGTAAATTGCGTGAAATTTTTTGCCCTAATTTGATTGTCTTTCCGGTCTCTGCCGTTTTGTAAGGTTTTTGATGTCGATTTACTGGCTTATAACACACAGATCTTTATTGATATCGTGCCTTGCTCACTTTTGCCTTCTACGCGACTTTTTGTGTGTTTTTAAAAAATGATGGATGTCTCAATATTACAACCTTTTTACTTCTTACTGTTTTTGCTGAGTAGAAGTGTCGTGTTTCGGTTTCGCGTCGATATTTCTTTGACCCTGATTTTACCATTCTTTTAACGCGGTTCTCTTTGTACTTCTGTTCCTAGTAAATCTTTTGCCTTCACTTACGTAATATTTGTTACATTCTTTTTTAATTTTTCTGATTGTATTTTGGCTAATAATTCGAGTGCCATTTGTTTGGGAAATGGCTTATTGTTCTTTACGGTATTTTCTGAAATTCGCTTTAATTTACAAACCCTTAGTATAGACCAGATTTTACACACTGGTTAAATATTGATAATCTGCTGCGAGATAAGATGCTTTATTTGCCGATTGCTTGTCATGTTTTGCAACTTCAAATTGCACTTACTCTTTCAGCTGTAAATCTTAAATCATTCGTCTCAGGATTTAAATTATGCGGCAATATTATGCTTTATCACTAGGAATGACTTCCACAAGTACGTTAAAATCGACGACTAGGTCTTCCAGACGGAGTACTGACGATGGCCTCCAGGTTACAGTTAGCCTTCTAGAAAATGATTGCTTCATCACGATTTGGGTTCCGGTATGTTATCTGTGCATGTTCTTAGCGTGCATTTTCTAAAACCTTTCACTCTAGCTGTTTTAGAAGACCTTTTCTATTTCGGCACTACTTGGCACATGAAAGCAATGTTGCCTAAACACATTATCTGCAATTTTAAAAATCGATTCACGGGTTCACATGCACGATTTATAAATTGGATCATCTTTAGTTCAACGGTGCCACTGCCGTGCCTTTGCGTTGGGACCCAATTTCAATTGTTGATTGTTGTTTGAAAGGAATGCAGGCGATTGAAATTGTTACAACAGCATGTTATAATTGCTCTCCTAAGATACAGACCATGGAATACCCATTAACCATCATGACTGAAATTCTTTTACTGCAACTTTATTATGGTTAATGTTTTTTTTCTTGTTTTAAGCTTTTAAGATGTTTGTTGGGATAAAGATGAATTTGGAATTATTATTCTTTAGTTTGTTAAAAGTCAGGATGATTAAGCAGCCTTGAATTAAATTATGCAAATATGTTAGATAGGTCATCTCTTATTTGTCCTGTTTTTATTACGCTTGATTGCTAATCGACAATACAAAATGGTCATATAAATCGGTTCTTTTCAACATCAACGAGCTTCTCTTTTTGACATTCTGTGGCTCCTTTCATTTCATTCTTTTGTAGGAACAGGCGAGTGGCAGATGGCTATTGGAGGAAGTCTGCAAAAAACAGGCAGTTCTACCGGAAATCGAGTACTTCGGTCTTCGTTATATTTCCTGTGAATTGCTTTCCTCACCTTCCAAGGTAATATGACAGGTTTCACGTTATTTGCGTTTAAACCTGCTATGCATCGTATTTGTAATCGTAACACTTCAAATGCTAAAATTGGTTATTTACTGTCTTCCTTTTTTAAGCACTGGATGAATCCTGTTAAGCTCGTTCGACCGCAGTTAAAGCGTAAGTACAAAAATAACTAGTTGTTCCATTCAAAATCAACGCACTTTTTCTCAACCTCAGACACGAATCCACTTATGGTGTCATTTCGGATTAAACACTACCCCCCAGATCCTTTTAGCGACTTCAAATTGGACAAATCCAAGTGAGTGTAGTATCTGTAATGCTTTGCTCCATTCTGGTTCACTCTCTTTATACGCATTCTCCCTGCCATTTCAAGCTTAGATTTCAATACCATAATTTTGAATGTAGTTTGCGTAATTTACCAGCCATTACATTTCCTTTCATATGATACGAATTCATATGAACACGTTCAGTAATTATTGGCTGTGTCTACATGGCTGTTATACTAGTGTTCTTTTGGTAATTGTGCCTCAAATACCGTCAATATCTATGAGTTGACATTAAGGGAGCTCAGGGACCGAAGTTTTTTGTGTACCTTTCTTTACAGTTTCCTTTGCAATAAGGTAGAATGGGAGGTCAGCTAAATTACATACATTATCAAAAGCTGGCGTAGAAAATGCTGCATCTCATCCGGTGCCTCTGGACTGAGCAAACATCTTGAAAGGACAATCTTCAATTTCATGTTGTATTTTACGCCCATCTTATACTTTTAGTTGATAAATCGCATTCTAAAACACATTTAAATGTACAGAGATTAGTCTGTGCGTTTTCGTGTCATCATTAACAGAATCCGTCCGCATTTACTTTTGCCATGTATTTTCAATGGTTAATGCAGTCTTCTTTATTATTTTCAATACTTTTGCTTTAATTGGTGATACGATTATTTTTTTGTATGGTTGTACGCGCCGAATTTGTTGTAGCAAGATCCAGAGTAGTACCAATGGATGTTAATTTTATACATGTAAATAAACTCCTTACTTGGTACATTATCGATATGAAGCATTTATTTGTTTGAAACTTTTATCAATTTATTGAAGCTTTCATTTTTTCGCCTAAAGTCAAACCAGATCACAAAAATGTTTTTCTCAGGAAATTGATAAAGGTAATTGATCTACTGGCTTTAACTATATGATTGAATAGGTATCTACTATTTCACCAACTCCATCGGGATTTCCTCAGTGGTCGCCTCATAGCTCCCCACGAAGATCTCATTCGCCTTGCCGCATTCTTCATTCAAGGTATTTTTATTTCCCCTCGCTCCAGAACTGTTATCTCACTCCCCTGCTACCTCGTTAAATTACAACGCCCTCTATCCTATCATACGCTCAACTCCCTACCACGTGCGGAATGAGGGTGTTTTACTGCTTCCCTTTCATACCAGCTGGTTTAATAAGTAACATATTTGGATTTAAAATGAACCTTAGTCTGTTTTGAAGAACCTGGCTGCTGCTTAAGTAAATGTCAGTGTTCTCTACGCAAAATTAGGCTCATTATTCAAGTTGGTCTCTTGCCTGCATGAGACAAAAATTTTCGTTTAATATCAGATTGATTTTTATTTGCAGTGACTCTGGGGGATGCCTCAGAGATGGCAGCATCCATGCTTAGTCTACAATCCCCTTCTGCTTCAACTAGGACAGATTCATCCACTTACCTATCCAATTACCGTGCTCTCCACAACACCTCTTCCAAGAAAAATGAGCTCGAGATTTTAGAAGAACATCGAAAACTTGAGTAAGTTTTCGCGCTCTTCTTTCGGCTGTTAACTAGTATCATAGGAAGACAAAAATTATGTATCGGCGGTGAACTAAACAAATCCTTTTTGAAGCCAATTTTTCGTGTTAACGTGTCCGAACAATTTATCCATCCACTGTTAAGATAGCGAAAATCCCTAATTTTGTAAATGTTGACTTTATTTATTACTGTTATCATTATTTCTCCACTAAAAGCGAATGCTTCCCGTGCGTTCTCTGCGATCAAAGCATGTCTTAGCGCCTTTCTTTGGGGACCTTGCCAGCCTCATATTTAATGCTTTAAATTAACATACCTTCGTGTTTTTTTATTCCTGATTTCCGGGATTGAAGGTCGAAATTCAGTTTCGTGACTCATATCGAAAACCCCCTCCTTATGCGTGATTTCACAAATACGTTAGATTCCACAAAGTGGACTTGCGCGTGATTTAGTGCTTAATAATAGAGAAAATGGTGGATATTGATGGAACATTATTCCTAGGGGGCCTCGGAAAATGTCTGCAACAAATTTCCCAGTTGTATTTTATTTAACTTGTAATCTTGTTGCCATGCGGGTGAATTTTTCTTGCGTTTTGAATTAAAAAACAAATTTTGTACCATTTTATTTTTCTCCAATTGGTCATTGAAAAGATGGCGACCACGTGGATGAAAGCCTATTTTACAGAGAAGTCACTGAAGAATCTACAACTAGATCAAAGCGCAACTGGTCCCTCAAAAAGTGCACAAATAATTCACTTCTCTTTCGTTTCGAAGGTGAGGGTAGTTTACGTGAGATGAGGAAATAAGGAATGAGTGTCAAACATGTTTTCAAGATCAATCGGCTAAATAGAAGTGCAGGAGGATAGTTTAATCCTACATATCCCTTTTTCTTCTGCCTTGCTTTCCTCTCCAACTAGAGGCGTGCTACCAAGTGAGGCAGCCGCAGAGGCAATTCGCATCGCTCTGCGGCAACCCTCCTACGGACTGGAGCCATTCAAAGTGCAACTGGTGGGCGCTTGGCCTTAGGTCTCCCTCCTTACTCAGCGTGTTTGTATCCAGCTTCTCTTTTCCCCTAGACTAAACGCAAGGACTCCCGTCCTGTGCACATTGGTTTGACTCACGAGGGAGTTGCCGAATTTCTCGGAAGCAAGCGAGCCCATCTTTTTAAGTGGTGCGTATCAGATTTTAAATGTCACTTAGTACCGCGTTCGACTACTTTTCCAACTTCTGTGATTGTTACAATTTTCTTCATTATGAAGTTGAAATAATCGTGTTATTTTCACTTCATTACCCGTTCGCTTTTTACTTCTCCGGTAGATCTACTCAGAAAATTTAGGAAATTTTTTGCTTCCTAATTACGTTTTTAAGTGTTTCATAAAATTGACCACATTCTAATGGAGATGATTGAGCCTCTGCTTCTCAGATAGATTCAGTTCGCCTTGTTGTTAATTTTCCTTCATTTAAAATGCACATGCGCTTTTCATCTAGCTGTAAAGGATTTCTTCTTTTTTATGCCTTAAGATAATCTCTAAAATATAATTTTCGTCAGTCCAAATTGCTCGTTGCGATTCTCAACCTACAATTATGTGGCCAAATTATACGTTAATGGTCATCAAAGCCACCTACTGTAAGCCTATTTTGTAAATGAACGTGAGGTTTTTGTTTGGATAAACGCCAGTCTCGTGGCATTTGATTCCCATGATTCAATGCACCAGGCGTTTCCCCGAAAGTGTAAAACTTCTTTAATCTCCCAAACATTCTGTATAACGCCTTTGGGTTGTAATCAGTGAATGTCGATTGTTCCTCCCCCTCCAAGCAACACCGGAAGAGCAAATAGGCAATGTCATCTTGTAAATGCATGTTTGACGCGTAAAAGTCATGATACTTGAAAATCCGAAATTACTTATCCAAAAAACTAGTGTTTATTCATGCTAACGGCATCTAGATGTTCTTGTCCGACATTATTTTCCCCGCCAAAGTTGTGCGCATTTAATGCTAGTGGTGTTCGCTAAAATTGCGTAGTTTCCCCAAAGCACTTTTCTCTTGATTTTCTTTTCTAAGCAACAGATAAACCTCCTCTTTTGGAGATTAATTAGAAGTTTTTTACACAAAGGGTAGATCTTCCATTGGGCAAGGAGCTGTTGCATTGATTCATTATCTCACGGCAATGCCTACTAGAATTTGAAACCACCAGAACTAATCCGCTCCTTTTTAACTTCAAGCATTTCTTGCCACAATCCACTGCCGCCACGTCTACTGGAGGAAAAGCCAGTAAACTTCCGATTTTCGCGAAAACAAAAAGAAATGCAAACACGGTTTGCTGCTTTTTCCTTGGCTGCGACTAAGCAGTTGCAAAACAGACCCACAGAATCCCGACTTATTGTCATTCTGTTATGGGTATATATGTACTTCCCGAGGAAGGAGAAGACTAATCTTGTTAAACATGTTCAACTGAAAATTTAATTATTTAGCCTTAAAATTTTTCCAAGGAGATAACAAGATTTCCCTATTAGTGCACCCGAAAGGTTCAAGTTCGTTTAGGTAGAATAGCATCTATTCATACACATGCAGAAGTGCTGTTGCCAGCGTAAAATTTGTTGATACGAGTTTTGCACAATTACTTCAAACTGCTTCTCTCTTGTTTCAGGGCGGAAATCGACCAGTTTTTTTATTCTGGGAAGAATTTCATTATAAGACACCAGAAAGCCGTACGTTTTATTGGCTACTTTGGACCCACTTTAATTGATGACGACCCTTAACCATTTCTTTCCATTCTTTGTAGGCATCAAAACGTCAAAAAGTTAGTTAGAAATAACTGCACATTTACCCGAAATTCTAATTTTGAAGTCGAATGCTCTCGCTCTCTACCCTAATAGTCAGAGAAAAACCACACGCATTGTTTTATAAGCAAAATTTACCGAAATTTTTATGTAAGAACGACGTCCAAATTTGCAAAAACTAGACCTAAAACCACATAGTTTTGAATTTTGTTTTGTATCGAAAGTCTGTATTTCCTGCTTGGAATAGTTTTACACTGTTGTCCGCCCAAAATCACCCAGGTAACTTTTCCGTCCACTGATGTCCATCAATGCTTTCATTTTCCACCAGTCTCAGGTATTTTTCTCAGATTTTGCGGCGTCTCACGTTCAAAATTCCTCTTCACGTGATAAAAGACAATTTAGTATTGTTAGAACCTTACTTGTGCTAATCTTATAGGAACTCTATAACATCTTCAATTCAATTTTGCCCGACCTCCTAAGCTGAAGTTTTTACATTTTAGTCGACTACTGTCATGGAGGAAACATTCCTCAGATTTTACAGAACACCACCTCTAAGTGTATGCCAAAGTTGGCTGCAGTACAAATGCCATCGTTGTTAAATTCTGTTCTCTTTCAATACATTTGTTATGCTTCCTTCATGGTAGAAAGGTATGAATGCGAGGTTACTAGTGTTGTTGGTATTTTACACAATTTTAGTCTGCTCATGAGATAACCGAATACAAATGTGAGTCTCGTGCGATTGCTTCAGAATTATGGAGCTGGGCTCTTGAAAGGAAGCTTTTTTTCACGTAAGTGCAACTTCCATTTGACCTGTCCAGAGAAACATCACGCTTTAGATGATGCAATCTAATGTATGCCATCTAATCACTCACAGACCCTTTTAATTAGTCTCGACATTTTCAGCGCTATCCTCATGCCCCAACATACTCGTTTTTTTTGATTAAGACCTCCCTTCTTAGCCACTTTTAAATTTTAATATTTTTTGACTACAAGTTTTGGCGTCACGTTTTTATGCCCATTGGGGGTTATTTAGAAGAAGGGTAAAATGAAACAGAATAAGCTTAATTTCCCGCCTTTTTGTAGATTAGAAAAGTCATCTATCGTGAAGCCAATCACAACGAAGTACAAGTTTTTTTCGCGCCGACACACCTTTACTTTTGCGTAAGTCTGCTCCCTTTCACCAGGTGGTTAATGTCCTTCGAAAACAGTAGATTGTTTGTCGTTGTGATGGGTTTGTTCTGCTTTCGAATCGACTGTCTGCCTGAGTTGGCATCAGGTACGCATCAACATGGTTTGGAATCTGCTAAAATCAACGCCACTCGTGCTTTCATTGTTTTAATGCGTTCATGTCTGTTGGGACATGATACTACTACTTTGTTTCTATTAAATTTAAGAATTACGGGTGATATTTATGGGCTTTATCGCTCAAAATGGATGCGGAAAATCCACCGTTACCTGATTTCACAGTCACTTTTTCTGTAAAATTATCTTGTTTTACTTCGTGAGGTTTGAAATGTTGTCATTTATCGCACACCAAAAATGCACAAACATACTAATTTTTCGTGAAGCCTGGCGCAGAAATCAGTTGCGATCTTATCATTTTTAGTCACTTGATTAAGCCAGCCTACTCCAGGTAGATGTAAACGTTGGTTGCTCGTACATCCGTTTTTTCTGCATAAGCGGATGTTTTGCAGTACCCGCGCGGATACTTTAATTACTGTACGGGCATTAGTTATCACCCAGTGCATTTAGTGCTCACCATTTCATCTAAGTATGCTCTTCCGCCCTTATGTACGCCGTCTTTCAACTAGTTCCGCCATAAAAGTTGCTTTTTTCCTTTAAAAACAGAATGCGGAAGTTGCGATGCCCAGACTGAGGCGTGGAGTACAAAGTAAAACCTCTGACTTACGTCAAACAAGTGGTTATTTAAATTGATTGGTTGGCCGGTCTGAATAGCCCTAGCTAATTATACTTCTCATCATTTGCGTTATTTGGGAAAAAAGCAAATAGTTTTTACTTCAACCTAATGATTTGTTTACTCTTTTGGTGGAATTAATGGCGTCAGAAGTGCATCGGATTAAATTGCGTCGTTCCATCGTTTTACCGGACTTCCAAAATGCGAACGCTTAACCGACTCTGGTAGACGATTGCTGGGTGCGCTAGTTTGACGCACATACCGTTCGTTTATTAGCGTTTGAAAGGAGGAGCTGGTGTACATCAGCTACACGGCTGTCCCATTTCAAGATTAGGATACGCATGGCAGTGTCCGGCCGCGCAATCCTTGAGCCTTTTTTCACTGATTGGGGTGGTAGGAAAAGGGATATTTAAATCATCAATTTCCACGATGGCTTCTGCATTTTTTCTTATATCAGTTGCCATCAGCACTTCATTGTCATGGTGCTGCATCCCACTTCCTACTCTTGACCGCAGTGATAATGTAATAGTACTAAAGTTGAGTGGAGTGTTTTTGTAGAGACGAAATTAACCTATTTCTTGCCTCCGTTTCGTCTTCGATGGGTTCAATGGAAGTGACTGGTGTATTGACTCAATGGATTTTTTCTTGCCAAGACGTCCGACTCAATTTACCTGTAACGAATTTCTCAAACACTTCTCAATTGGTGAGAGCCCATGCCAAGCAAAGATTTCAAGTTAAAATAGCGAGAAAATAGGTAGAAGATGATGACTTGGATCTCACTAATTCACGTCGACCTTAAATCAGTCTAAATCTCATAATTCGAAGCATTATTGGTTCGTCTCAAAGCTCCCCTTCAGTCATTAATGGTGATTTGTCAAAATCAGTACCGAGGGAGAACGCTCCTTTTGAAAAGAGAAAGTACGCAGAGGGTATGTGTCCCGTAGAGTTATTCAACACAAATGGAATTACATAACACAGGCAAGACCGGGAGCCCGTAAACCTACAATGAAGTTAGATGTTTCGTTTTTGTTCAGGAATACAAATATGGCAGTCGATAAGATTTATATCCACATTATTTAACAATTATAAAGCAGTAAAATTTAGCCAGGAAGATGGTTATTGTCCCTTTCGGTTGCACATTTATCCAACCTTTTCCCAAAATTTTGAAACAATAGCGCTAAATGTTGATTTCACCTACGAAAATTTAGCAAAAGATGCATTAAATCGAGTAAAATTACTGGTCACTTCAAATCCTCTTGGGTCGTGTAGTTTGCAGCTGAAACGACATGGAACACCTACAGCATACAGACAAGAAGGGTTACAGTTAATCACATGGGATTCCCTCCTTTTAGCCAATATTGTGGATAGCGCACTAATGCTACTAGATTTCGCTTCATAGATTCGCTAAATAAGATAAATAAATATGGTGGTGCCAAATCCGATTGTTCGGTTTTCGG